ACAACGGCCATTTGCCCTCAACATAACCAGAGCCTTCTGAACAACTTCCACAGATGCGCTCGCTCAACGTTTTAGCTGCCTTGCTTCCCCTCCACATCTACGTTGAGCATGAGGCAGTGCTAGCAAAGTTACTCCACCTGCAACAGGAAATTACCTACCATGGCTCCACATTCGCACCTACAGACTTTGACCTACGATGTACTGTATCCCACACCCATCCCGCAGACAGAGGAAAAGGCATCAAAGTTTTACTGCACACTACACAGCGACTCAGAGCTGACCTCTGCCATCTTCACAGATGGTTTAAATTATGATGCAGGTGTAAGAAGTGCCCTAGTCCATCTCACTAACTCTGTACAGGTAAATCACTGAAAGGGGCACCTCGCGGAACATAACAGCGTCTTTCAGACAGAGGTCTTAGCCTTGGAGCAAGCAGTTCGCTATGCCATTACACAGAATCTTCGGAATATACAAATAATCTCAGACAACCAATCTGTGCTATAAGCGATCCGTAATCCTTCACATTATTCACAACCATACAACAATTACATCGCAACAGCACGCATCTGAATATCACGCTCCATTGGACCAAGGCACATGCAGGATATGCGGGGAATGAGCTCGCTGATTCTCTAACCAAAGAAGCGGCTCCTACCGTCTTTTTCTGAAAATAAGACATCCTCCAAAAATAAGCCCTATCGTGATTTTCGGAACTTTTTGTAATATAATTTGTTTTTGTATATAATTCAGAATTTTATTTATGACGATGTTCCAGAAGAAGATGACATGACTGTAATTGAATAAATTTAAATTTCTGTATTCTGTGTAAAATAAATATTAAATAAAAATATATAAATATACTTTTATTTTTGCCCTTCCCCGAAAATAAGCCCTAACGCGTATTGTGAACCAAAAAAGAAAGTAAGACAGTGTCTTATTTTCGGAAAAAGACGGTCACATAGATACAACCCAATGCTACTTCCCGGCGCCAAGATCCTATCTTAAGTACCGTATTCTGAACATTTCCCTACAAAAATAGCAAACGGAGTGGAACGACAGCGACAAAGGGCGTCGACTCTGCTCTGCCGCACAGCTTACTAGATATATCAGTGGACTATTCGTTTGTAATATCGTGTGGCCCCAACTTGTCAGCAACTATGGTACTGACTGCTACTAAGTGTGAATTTACACAGACACGTAAGAAGGGTTTAAAGCCCTTTTTATTCAACTTTTAAAATAACAGCTGCGTCCACTTGACAATCACAAAGTACGCCGACCCGGCGGTTTAACTGAAACAGAATGTAGAACTGAAAAATAAGGACTGGATGAATAAATAGCGAGATCACTATCCACGAGGCTCTGAGATCTTAAACTAACCTCTTAATCTAACCGCGTTTCTAACATTACCTGCTGAAATTCAGCGAGCTTACTGATTTAAGCAGTTTGAAAGATCAAGCAAAATCTGCCGAGATAGGCACAACAAGGCCGACACGCGCGGTTCTTAAATTCTACCGAGCGACATTCACGTTCGCGATTCAAGAAGCACACCTACAATCTCGTTTCCCTTCATACTTCAGCTAAATTTGAATATACTGCGCGCTCTACTTCAATTTACATACTCTAGCATTGGCAGTTCTAGGGGAAAGTAAAGGTTAGACAAGAAAGATAACTTTAAATAAATGTTAGTTAAAATAAATATAAACCCTAAACGTCCATGCGGCTTCGCAGAGAAGCAAATGCATTCCCGAGGCAAGCCTCCTGGGACTCGGGAGCTGCCGGTTCAGGATAGTGGAGGGCGTGGGACATATACCTGCTTACCTTTGTTAGATATCAGGTGTCCCCGTCCTCCGTCACCTGTCACCTATGAGTCTAGAAAGCGAATGATCAAGTTTGAAAAAGTCATAAAAATTTCTATAAATTACGCAAGAAGTTACCGAATAAACTTTACTAAAATATTCTCATCTCCGTATTCCATCAGCTGAAAACAAGCATGAATGGGCAAATAACATCCGCGCTCAGACCTCTCCAGAAATCACTGAAGTAGCTCTTGGTATCTACAGTAAACTAAAGAACTTACAGCTTGTCATAGCTTAAGGGCAGTAGCAATGCAGAACTCTAAACCTTTGTGGATTAACCGCAACGTTGTCAATAAAAAGAAAAGAAAGAAATACTATGAACTTGCAAAATGCCTAATATGCATATTTTTCAAGACAATGGGATTTAAGCACATTAGACATCTTTTTCAGTTATGTTAGAATTTCTGTCTCTCGTGTAGATTCTGAACAACAGTATTAATAACAACAGTATTAATATATCTACGACAAATTTTTGAATTAGTATTGGAATGTAATACTGTTAACCAGAGAACAGGGGCTCCATTACCTAGCTGACATGATGCCTGCCTTACACGGATTAAAGCCCCTGCTTCCAGAAGCCATTAATTATCACTAAGCAAAATAAGTTTACAGTGGCATGCAAGGCCTTAAGAACATAAGTAACATAGTCATGATATACAGTAATCAGAAGATTTCAAATTTTAGATTTTATACCATAATAGAAGAAAAATAATAATATAGTCTATTAACTCCAACTTCAAAAATAAATCAGTGGCAATAAGGAAATTGCCTACCTACGCTTTACAGATACATGAGCCCATAAATGTTCGACAATTACACTTTCTCTAAATATAAAATATCATAATCAGTTATTACATTGCCAGCAAAACGATAAATCTCTGCCATAAAAGATTTACACAAGAACATTACAACAAAAACTTATACCAGATCAAGACAGTGCTATTAGGTCAAACATGTGACAATCGAAAAGGAAACAAAAATGCAAACAATGAAACCATATATACAATAATATTTGGTCAAAATCAATGTTTAACATTAGCCTAGTGAATCCAACCTTATCTTCATGCAAGAAAACATCAAAACTACATACATGAACATGCATGAGCATAATGCTATGATCCCTACATTAGAAGGTTACCAATGCATCAAGTAAATCAGACATGTAGACAATTTTCCTGAATATCAATTTGTATCAAAACATACACTATACCATGAAAACAACATTAAATGAAATTTACTTCCATGATGAAAAATGGGACGATAGACATTTTAAATAACCAATGTTCAATTTAGTGAAGAGTACAAACCATTGAACAAAGTCATACTATATTAACAATATACCACATTAATACATGCAAAATTTTAGGTACCTTTTATAAAAAAAATCATATGGTTTTAAACGGAATCAAAAATAAAATTGCAACCGGTGAAACCTGATTCGATACGACATTTTATCGAAATTTAACGAAAACAACGCAAAAGACCAAAATGATCTTAAGGACCTACAATAAATACAGAATCACAGTTATTGATTAACAGTATCTTTCATCAAAGGAAAAAAAGACATTATTCTAACAAAAGCAAGCCGTACAGTGCAACTCCATATTGCATAGTTAAAGAAGTGAAAATACCTGCCTTAAAACAGCAGTAGCTCCATATTGAGACAATCAGAGGTCAATACATAAATCAAAATGCATTCAATAGATTTCTATAAATGATGAACAAAATTCTGAACAAAACTACATCATACATCTAAATACCCTACAATTTTTCAGAACAGAAAATTAATGGTGTCTCTAAAATGAGGTAAAATTAACATAACCATTTACAATCCTTAATAAACCCTAAAGAAAGCATGTTGCAAATAGTACCTATAATTTTCAAACAATAAACCGAGTATTATACGTTCATAATTTGTACTGCAAATACGAAATACCTTCAAAATTGAGCCCAATTAATTTAAATAAAAACTGTTGTGCAAACAAATAAACAAAATATAATACATCCATTACTGTATTATGCACAATTAATTTAAATTAGATTCACAATATTAAAGAAAAACCATTCAATCTAAAACTGAAAGCACGCTTGACGTGCATTCTGGAGGTCCGGAGTTTGAATCCCGGCGTGGGAACTGCGGATTTCTTCAATTTCTTGTATTATTTTCTTTGTATATGTGCAATGGTTTACTGCCATGTATCTATTTTCAAATGAATACAAGAGTATGTTTGAAACATTGTATTTCGAGATCACAAACAGGAAAGCTGTGTTTTTAAAGCAAAAGAATAGCACCTGCACTCCCCATTTCAGCTTAATAATTGTACAGTCAAACCAGAATGTTTTTATCCGCATGGTTAACGTCACTTCTCACACTGTACTTTAATTACTCTTTGCTATATAAAACTCCGCACCCTAATTTGTAAAGAATCACTGGGAGGACTTGTATCCTAATTTGTAACGAATCACTGGGAGGACTTAAACAAGCTGATAAGCACTCTCCGCAAGTGAACCAGCTACTCAGTCGGTGAAGTAAAGTAAAATAAAGTCTAACCGAAGGTGCAAAGATGAAAATTCTGTGATGATACATTTGAGTGTTAAGCAAGGGTATGTGAAAAACTTCTATAAAAAATCGCTACGACATTAAAGGAAAAAAATACATTGAAATCTGAGAAAATCGCAGTGAATGCTGGATTGTCATCGCAACTACGAAATTTAAAGATAATCATTAGGGTAGAATTTGGTCAATCATGCATCTCAAGATATTACTTGGACAGAGACAAAGCAAGTTAAAAAATATATATAGTTTACACGTTTGCATTACAAGCTTACAACATAAAAGAGAGCCCACTTATAATCCCACCGGCTTTTACAATATTGAGATGGATTGTGGTCTCAGTTATTTCAATCGTTCTGATACACATTGCACATGTGAATATAAATTGATATTCCGAGTATATTTTATGATACAAATGCCCTCAATATAAAATTGTTTTCTTAATGCCAGCAATAATCGAGCAGAGCTAATCAAGAAATTATGAGTAACCAATTCTTATCACACAATCGCGTTCTATCAAAAAGCGACGGGAGAAAATATTTAAAAAAAAAAAAAAAAAAGTGCCCTTGAAGTTTGAGCGATAGCAGTGGCTTTTCCAAAAGTCATCTAATCTCTGCGTGCTTGTCTGAAAAACCGAGTCTTTCTATCACGAGCGGAGTTCTGAATCTCAATAAGTGTAGTTGAAAGTTATTTCTTTCGATTTTCTTCAGTCCCAGGTAACGATAATCTATTTCAAAGTGTAAAACTTTCTTTTATTTTTGGTCGAATTTTGAAAAAGTAGTTTTGTCCTCGTTATTGTTGAGAATTTAATAAATGTACTAATTAATGTAGTTTTTAAAAGCATTTTTAATTTTAGAATTAAATATGAGTAATAAGGGACTTTTCTGACATATATTAATTGATGCTGATCAAAAGTATAACACTGAGTTTTCTGTATTCTCCTCCGATAATGTGAATGCTATCTTTGTGCATGGATAATTATTTAATAATATAGTGCACTATGCTCGTAAACTATCATTTAAGTTATATGGAATATATATAGTATTTGAAACATTTACTCCATTAGTGAAACTAATAAAAGTTAGAAGATTTCTAAGAATTAGAAATCAAATATCCTGGCTTAACATAAGAAGATGTCTCCATCTTAAACGTCTTTTCGCAAAAAACACAAGAAAGGCCTTTCTTTTCTTAAAAAGTTTCTTACCCCCTTTAATCTCATATTAGCAGATCATAACAGGATAGTACTGAATAAGATAAAATAGGATAATACTGAACTTTAAATATTGCATCAGTCTAGAACTACAGCAATATGTCAACCTATATCCAATTACACGATTTTCACAATATCTAATTAGAAATTATATTATAATAATTATTCTACGTAATTTGAATTTCAAAAAACAGCAGATTTATTAAAACGAAATTTTAACATCTGTGCTAAGGGGAGGACAAAAAATTCGATTGAATTTTGGAAAGAACATTCTGTTTAATTAAGTTGATAAAAATGTAGCTCTTCTAAAGATATTTCAATAATAATTCAACTCAGATATTCATTCTTTGACTGTCATTTCCCATTCCTCCTGAACGTCATTATTAATAATTTTATTTCTAATATCTTCGCTGTTTCGGCCATTTTAAATTTTAAGATTTTCAAGATTTATTATTACCTGAATTATTTGTATTGTCCATGGTTTCGAAATTCTAGAGTTACCCATGATTTTAAAATTTGTGAATTCTCCATGATTTTAGGTGATCTGCGATTTCATGACTTGTTTGCCTGTGATTTTAAGGATTATATGTCGTTGATTGTAAAATCAGAAAGAAAAAAGATATTATTTTCAGATATAGGAGAGATTGGAGTGCAAAAAGCAAATAAATAAATAAATAAATAAATAAATAAATAAATAAAATTCCGAATTTTATAATTTTTTGACCCAACAAATGGTTCTGTTCGAGGGAAAAAAAAGCACAGTAAAAAAATTTGCTGCTCAATCGCGTGTCGTCTTCAGGTTTCGCATGAGGTAAATAAAAAACATGAAATTATTTTTAAACAATATTTTTAATGATTTTTTTACAATACTGTTGCTTCCTGATCCAACATAAGATTGTTTCGGACCCAACATAACATTGGTAAAGAAAAACGCCAGTGAAAAAGTTTCAGCTTAATCACTTGTCATCTTTAGGTTCCAACAAGAGAGCCGAAGAAATTCATATTGGTATCGAACTTCGTAAGTTTCTTCCGAGACTTGATACGACTGCAGATGAATTCATCCCTGGCTTTTACACCATATGTTGCCAATGAAGCTTTCGTCACCACTCTCACATGCCTCTTTACTACTTGAGAATGGCAAAGATGCTTTCCTACTTCAAATTGAGAACCGCCTCTAATCAAACTTATGCCTTCGTCGCTGAGGTTCAAGGTAGCCGTTGATGCTAAGGGATTGTCCCAGCGAATCATCTCAAAATATTCCTCTGCTTTGAAATTGAATTTAAGAAGCACAAATTGCCATATTTTCTCCTTCCAGTCAGTTTTTCTTGCTTTCAGTATTCTTCTCAGGCCAAGTTCACGAATATTCGCTCGTTCAAACTTTCAAAGTGCGCAAAATAACACTTCTTCTAAATAACTTCGTGAACGATTGCCTTAAAATTTCTTGACGAAAATGAACTTTTCTTGATTATTCCGTGAACATGACGTGCTCCATGTGTTGCTCTCGGGATTTTCTTTATTTAAAACCAGAATGGCACATAAACCTTCAGAACATATTCGGCTAGTAGCTTCAAGTCGTCTTTTGCTTCGGCGGTTGATACAAAAAGGCAAAGAATTCTGTTGGCTGTATTGAGCCATTTTGAGTGGGTTCTCTTCCCAGGACTCCTGATTGCTATGTCTGAAGGCACTTACCTAGAATACCGTATTAGAAATATCAAGGAGGTATTTTTGGTCAATTTCGGATAGATCAACTGGAATAAGGACAAGGAATCTACGGGAAAAGTTTCCTCTGTTTTGAGGGACTTTCCTATTGTTCCTGAAAATTGTTGTGGTCCCGATGTATTTCCATCAATATCCTGGAAAAGATGGCGAAGAGGCAGTTCATTGGTGGGCAAAAAGCATACAAATCAGTCCAGTTTATTATGACCAACAAACATCTAAAAAATATGCACTTCTAGTTGATCTCATCTTAGTACAACATAAAGAATGACTGATAAGGTAAGACTGACAAAACACACTAAACATCCAACTAATTAACAATAAAAAGTCATTGAGAGATCATGGAAGCCACGAGATTGCTTACCCCAAGCTAGAACCAACAATCAGATTAAAACTCGTTCTGTCAGCTAATGGCATATTTAGGCATTAAATTTGATATTTTTGTGTGGAAAGCAATTTCTCGCACTAATAAAGGCGTTTTCGACAAAGCAATTCATGAAAAAAGCATAAAACCATTAAAAAAGTCTGTACAGATATTCATTTGAGATGTAGAACCTCAAGATGTCAATATTTCGGGCTGAAATTTTAACACAATTTCTTCTAGACAATTTGGAACCATATAATGACTCAGGCAATATGATTTTTTTTAAAAGGTCTTTTCTAGTATAGGGTTTTCAGAAAGTGGCAAGGAAAGGCAGGGTTTCCAGATTTGGCAACAAAATTGGCGATATGCCATAGACGGAACGTGAACAGTCTAGAACGAATTCTTATCGGTTTTCTCGAGAATGCTCTCGAAGGCAGATCAGAAGCTATAAATGCCCTGCCTGTACGCGGTGTAGAAGAGTATCTAAAGAGTATCTTGAGTAGTAGTAGTAGAGTATCTTGAATTCAGTAGTAGTGACTTGAGTTCAGAGATTAGCTTGAGAGCGATCGATCGATCAGCTGTACTTTAGTGCTTTGCCGTGAAGCTGTCTTCCCGTTATAGACTGACGTCTGTGTCGCTGATTTGTCAGCGTGTTTGTCGTAGTTTTTCGATGACTGTAACTCGTCTTTGAAACTGTTCTAAGTAATACTGACAAATAAACTGTCTTTTGATTCTTCATCAAGTGTTGTCACTAACCACTCCAAATATCTACGAACCCGTAGAAAGTAACAAACTTCCAAAGTTAAGCCTGAAGCCTGCTATAGTCTTTTAAATATTTATCACCAAAGCACAGCTCCAACATGCCAGACAGAACTTTGAAGTCTAGCCGCTTGTTTTCGGGCGGAATTTGAAGAATATCCGCGGCGTCTACTCTCAGAGAAACGACGAGATGGTAGGCTTGAGCTTTGGAATCCCATCCCTTGCGTTTGCCACTCTGGAGAACTGAGTCTTATACACCACGAGATCTTTCGATAATATGTGAAACACTTTAGAGAAGATCATCTAAAAACATGATCTTAAATGGTATTTAGCTCGAAATCTTTTTGGAGCACTTTGTACTGTTGTCATATATCATTTGTCAGAGATTAAATTCTGCCGGCTTCTGGATCCGATATTTTTCAATTTTTATGTGAAATTGTAATTCCATTCTTATCTTCAAATACGATGAGATAGCCTATTGAAGTTTATTATTAACGATTGATTATTAATTTAACTTTATTAATTAACTTTTATTCATCTTTCACATTTTATTTAATTTTAGTTATCAATTATTTATTATTTTACTTATTCATTTTTATTAACATTTCCTAATAGCCGTCCGTACGGCCCCAGGATTTGTTATTATAGAAATTAAGCTCTGCTATTTGTAATAACATTTTTCATGCATTTGAAATCAATCATCTAACTCCCCACATTGTTCTACCTAATTGACCTGAAAAACAGAATGACTGATTAAGGTGCTATTTTGATAGCATCTCTGCTAGATTTACCAGAATCAACCATAGTAATGCCCAACCAGTGCAGCAGTTAGCGATGCTGATTGCCGTAACGTAGAGCCCAGGTTCGAATTTCGGAGAAGGCATGGATGTTTATAAATCTATAGTGGCTGTGCGGCATGGGGGGGCACTTTAAATATGCTGCGAGCCGAAACTCCTCTCGAGAGGTTTATAGTAAGGATCCATGGACTTGTCCACCTGGGGTGCTCTGCATCAGAATTGGGGGCGGAACTAAGCAAAGAGTTACTGTCACCTGCACGGTGCTCAAAGCTCAACGACAGGAGCAGTCTTGCACTCCTTGCCACGATGGATTTCGTGAGCTTGTTCTGATGTTACTGTCAGACAAGTGAGATATGTCACAACAACAAAAGGTCAACCAGAATCAACCTTTTAAAATGAAATCGATAGTACAAGCAACTTATTACGTTTAGCAAATACAGGGAAAACTGTAGACATTATAATTTTCAATATAAAAATGGAATTCATTAATGAATCTATCCAACTCGAAATCTGTAATATTTCTTCCGTTTTCCATAATATTTGAGTAGAAGATTAAAAAAAATAATTGAATAATATTGGCTAGTTTATTCATTATAGTATACTATGGAAGTGTTCTTGTTGCATAACGAGAGGGATGCTTTCGTGGAGAAATATCGAAGAACTGAATGTGTTCAAGCTGCATTCATGGTACATACGTGTGTTTTTTTCTTTTTCTTTGCGAAGAAAAACCACGGAAACCTCAAAGGGACAATCTATTCACTAGAAGCCAAATCCAGAGCAGAGTTGAAACGGGATAAGTCTTTTTCACAGATCCCAGTTAATGATATGTACTCCTTTGAATGATATCATACTTCAGTTATGATATCAGGATTGCATAAACGCTATCAGAAATCGCTACACACTTCTTTTTTATGAATTTTATCATAAACCTACATTTGTTACTAATCAAAGTGAACTATAAAATGATAGACACTTTTTTTTAATCTTATCACAAAGTCTCGTTTTTGTTATCAATTCAAATGAGTTCTGAACGAAAGAAATAAGCTTGAAGAATTATAAATTTGTGTTTCTTTTGGAAGAATAATTAAATCAAACTTAGCAACGTTTTTTGCGTCTAAACCTTGTCATACCATTTTCATTTAATATAGTGGCCAAGAAAGGAATGCAATAATGAGGAAGCCGAATGTATCTGAGAATCTGGCCATCGAATTGGCGTTCCGCATCTACGGCCTGAAGGTGATTACCATCAAGAAAATGGTCAGCTATGATGACCAAAACTTTCGTATTTGTGTAAGTTGATTAATTGCTTTGTGAAGTCGCTTCACTTTTTTCCTTTCATTTTCTCATTACTTTCAGCTCTAAAATAGTAATTTGTAGATTTTTCCACATTTATTAGCGTATACATAAGCGTAATATGTAACTGTGTAATATGTAATATGTAACTGTGTAATATGTAATATGTAACTGCGACAATTGCCTCCTTTCTTTGATTATAATACGACGTTAATTGCAAGCCGATCCCAAGAAACTGAAAATTTAAATAAATAAAACTAGATATGAAACAGACAAAACTGGATTGCGTTACAGAACATTATCAGAACACACATTAATATTTAAAAGTGAAACAGAGTTGGTTTAAAAAACTTAAGTCACTGTGCACGTGCAATATTGTTAGAATAAACTAGTATCACTTTTGCATAGTGAAAGTCAGCAACGTCTAAAACAAACGAGCACCAAACGATACACTGGCGAGAGAGGATTCTACTTTGATTCAGATGCAGAAATCTTAAAAAGATTCTGTAATTGCATTGTATTTGTGCTTCCTTTTTTTCAGCATGTTACCTTCTTTTATGGTATGTACTCCTGATAATATTATTACCTAATAGATAAGTCTGAAGCTATTTAAATATCTTACACTTCGATTTAAATGTTTATAAAGACTGTTAACTTTGCTTTGTATTCTATTTGTGTCTTATCTGAGTTAAGAAAACTCTCTAACTTATTAAATGAAGATTTCAAGTTAGTTATTGTAACTTATGACTCTTTAATAAAACTGTGCTAAATAGAGGATAGTGTACTCAAACGCCTTAGACGTGTTAAACTCACGACATATCAAATATAGACCCAATAATTAAGAAGACTGTGCTGCTTATTGACAAAAGCAGAAAACCTCAGTGTTTGAAGAAGTCTAGAATTTACTTCTAGCTTATCACGGCCACAAGAACTCATGGATGACAAATAGTATTTTTACCGATTTTCTTTTGAAATGGAACAGCGAACTGAAAAATAAAGAAGTATCTTTATTAAGTAGACAATTTTTCAGTACAAATACTTCTGATCTCTTTCTCATAAACATTAGTAGTTCCTTCTGCAGAAACAACTTCTAACATGCAACCTTTAATTTTAGGGTTCTTAATTTAACTTCTAATATTTAACCTTTAATTTTTAATAAAAGCTTTCAAATATCATTGCAAAAACATATTCAGTAAGTGATGAACAGAATTGAATTTTGTAAAAAGGCAAGCACTTCGCAGGAGATAAATAATTCGACGTCTCCGTTACAGGCTGCGCACATTGCAGTCAATGCAGCGCATTAATTACTTAAAATGAGTTAAAAATTATTCTCGAAAATGTGGTTCCTATGTAGAATAAGCCTCAGCAGAATTTCAAACTGTAGTTAAAGTTTCAGACATTAGTGAACTATGAAGATTCGTTTTTAAAATATATCAATACACAAAAATATTGACAACACGTGTAAAAAAATCTGAAGACGGAAGTGCTAGCTGAGAAACTGATAGTGAAAGTAATACAGAAACAAGTGATGGCATGCTATTATCAATCGAATCTAGAAAAGCACAGCATATTCTGAGAAATCTTTTTGAATTGAAAGATGCTGTTCGAAAAGTTGTAAGCAGTTTTATGAAACTGAGAATAAAATTGAAAAACTGTTGTTGAACAATATAAAACAAACATAAATATAATATTGTAAGAGATAAAATTTCATCAAGAATATAATTATGAGAATACTTTTATAAAATCTTTAAAAGTAAATTTAAAAATTGGGTAATTAGTTTTAGTATTAATTTTTAAATAGTATTTTTGGATTTATTAATGAATTAATTGGTAGCTATTTTGCTTGAAAAGTTTAAAATTGGTATCACGGTTTGTAATTCGCAGGAAGTGATTTTTATAAGCGGCGGGTACTGCATTTTCCAAGGCTAATGTACAAGGTTTGCACTTCTGTGATGAAATTGACTCGAAGTCTGTTTAACAAATATTTACTATTTCCTCGTGACTTCGTTTCTCCCACTTCTATATATCAAGTGACGTCATTTAACTCAAGAGCGAGGCTTACGTGTTCAAGAGTTGGAGCCTAACCTTCTTTGTCTACTGTGCTATTCCTTTTGTGGCTTCTGTAAATCTGACACTAACGATGGGAAAAGCCTAACCTTGTTTATCTATTGACTTTGCTGTGAATAGATAATCCTCAAGAAGAGTTCTCAAGAATAGTCCAAGTCTGTGAATAGATAGTCCTCACCTGTCCTGAGCTTTTGTCCTGGGCAATACATGCTGACGAAAATACACGTATTGCTCAGCAATACATATGATCTCAGCAGTTCTGCGCTATTATTCACTTTCTCTAAACAAGATTTTTTCTTTCTTTCCCCTTCTCTCTTACCTTATCGCTACCTTTCTTATACCTTATTTGCTGCCTTATGAAAAGATGCTAGGGTTTGGTCAGCATGTTCTCTCTAACCTAGAATACATTCTTCCTAATTCGCCAGCTTATTATAAAACGCTGAAATTCCATCAACATTTCTTCACAATCTTCTGGCGATTTATGGGCAATTGACAATAGCTTACGAAAAGCACGAAGAGCTGAATTCAAAGACAACTTGCTTTGAAATTATTAAATTGTTGGGGAACTATACTTGTCAAACCATTAGCGAAGTTCTGGTAGTCCATTCATTTCTTCCTGTCCTACTCTGCTGATTTTCTGTTCTCCGCAATTTCCTTACTTTGAATTAATAAGGAAGCATCTGCTTCAAGTTATCATTTAAAACAACTTCCATTACACAGTGACGACTATATTTTGCTCCACAAAAAGTATTGTTTTGCTGAAGCAAGCAACTATTTTATCTGCCTGTGTATTTCAGCATTTAATATTGCTTTCATTGATCCCATGTCTCTACTGCACAGCATGTAGCATTAATGTTACTTGTGGCGACATCGTTTGCAATATTGAAAGGCCGTCTGTCAAACTCTTCGCGTTGAGATTTTCTATTTGCTCAAGTGGCAACAGTAAAAGAGCTCGATAGATAAAATTAAACATTAGAATTTGTTTTCAAAGAAGAAACTCATTATAATTTTCCTGCTGTTCTCTCATTAATAAATATATTTCAATACATTTATATTCTGCAGTATAGTGTTAATGCATTTATTCAACGAATCTATACTACCTAAGCAAGTAGAATCATTTTTTTTAATCGATAGTATGATAACAGGTCTTCATCATTAAACAAATATCATAACTCTCGAATTAAATAAATATCATAAATATCTAATTATAACTCAAATATCATACAAGAAACTGTAATTCAACTTTCACTTATTCGAAAATGCATACAAAATTCGTGGAAATTTATTTTTGGTGGCCACTGAAGATATGTATTTTTTTAAACTATCGACTATATTCGGTAACCGGTATCAGCTACTGTATGTTACTGACCTTATTAATGATACCGAATCAGCTTTGAAATCACGACAAAAAGTTCAAAAAATAAATTAGAATTTAAAAATAAATAAATAAATCTGAAAGCTTTTAGATTTTATACTATGCCCAAAGTAGCTTTTTTTTTTTTCATTTACCCATATATACACGTTTCGAGAGCATTTGGTGTAACGCCTCTTTGGTCTAAAAATATTTAAAAACAGCATATCTTTAAAACCGATAGACAGTTTCGCGCACTGGAGATAAAAATATTTCATTCCGTACAGTGTATTGCCACGGTTCGCTTTGAAATGGTTCAGTTTCTTAATCAAAAATATGTTAAAAAAGTTTAAAAATATGAAAGAGATAATAAAACAAGTTCAAGGTTCAAGCTTCCCGGTGCCCATATTCGGGTGGAGGGCTATGTTATTCAAAGTGTTCTGTATAGTTGTTTTTTCACAATGCGAGATATATACATGCATTCATACAGATTCTTCATTATTTAATATCTTTAAATATTACGCATGGCGATACTATTTGGTGCAACAATTTGAAAAGTAATACAGAGGTTTACAATGATTGGACGCAAAATGCCATTTCGATACTGTGGGCTAACGCCCATTTGGACTAAACGTCTAAAGGGCTCAGATGTTAATGATCGCACAAAAGGATTTGTTAAAGTTTTTTACGTTATCGCTGAGTTCGTAGTCTAGCAGTCTGCTATTGTACTCACGCTTGCTAACCCATTTCTTTTTGCCATTTTAGCTTTATTATTAAGCATCAGTTTCTTCGCACTTACGCTATGTAACAGGAAAATTAGAAAAAATTTTAAAAGCAGAATAGCTGCATATATTTATAATTCCCTATGTAGTGTTAAGGGGTGTTGGCCTAAGCATTCTTCCCCCTTTTCTTCCAGTCTTTCCTCAGTTTATAATGTCAGTCTCGGTTTTCTTAATAAAATGGCTTGCAAAACGTTTTGTTGTCTTATTATCATCAACGTTTTGTGTGTTAACCTTATTTATTTAATATCATGTTCTTCGCACTTATGCCACATAAAATTCAACTCGGCATCAAAATCACAAAATATTTAAAAGCAGTATGTCTTTAGAATTTCCAATATACAGTGTTGCGCGCTGGAGATAAAAATTTTTTATTCTGATTTTTTTTTTTTTAAAAAGTAAATAAAGGTCGGCTTGCAATCGAATAAATAAAATATTTATAGCATACTATACAAGTCGTCTGGCATATCACGTGTATCAGATTATAGAAGGCATTACTTTAACACAAGCTCGATTACGGAGACATTTGTCACATTTGACCAGTGTATCAGTAATATGTGACTATCAACAACCTGATGGTGGAAATTCACTTGATATTATGTGCGTTTGAACAAACTGTAGACATTCATTTTACTTACGTTCGAAGCCACAGTGATAGTCTCGGTAATGAAAGGGCTGACCAGTTGGCTAAACAAGCGACTTAACATGAGATGTCTGTTCTCAAGTCTTAATGGAAGCATGTTTCTTGGAATAAAACTGTTGGTTGACTGGAATGTTGAATATCTTGCTTTTTCGAAGGCCCACTGGACAAAGAGGTTTTTCCCAACAGTTTTTTAACATTTCAAGTGTAATAACATTCAACCAGATTATAAACTAACTCAGATTTTAAATGGTCATGGGTATTTTAGAAATTATTTATTTCGTTTTAATATTGTGATCAGAGAACTTTGCGCTTGCAGCGATGCTCTAGAAGGTGACTATGGCTAAACAAATACTCCTTGCACTGCAGGTTATGCGAGAGTTAGAATTCTATTTAAAGAGTGTTTAAGGTCTCTCTCTGTATGCTAGCCTTAAGTTTTTTCTGACTTTGAGTTCTGAGGCTTTTGCTATCTTCAGCAACTTTATTTGTTGTTTAAAATTTTATTATTATTATTATTTTTATCCATTATTCCATCATCATGTTTTTTATGTGTCACTGTATTACTACTTTATTTTATCTATATATGATTACGCTATGTATTAATTATTTTTATTATTGTTACATCATACCTCCTTTGTATTATTAGTATTTTTTGTATTACTTTATTATTATTATTACTTTATTATTATTAGTTTGATATATTTTCTTTTTAATAGTAGTAGTATTATTACAGCTTATTATTTATAGTATATTTTAGTATTCTTATTATAGAATTGAATATTTGGATTATTATATATGTTCCTAATTCTGTCCAAAGCTAGATATTATGTATTATTGTTGTATTATATCACCTTAGTATTATTGAGCTATTTACTTACTTTAGTAAGCCTCGTGGCTTACTTTGTGGAACCTGAGGAGTTTCGCATTTGTTTTCTTTAATAAAAAATAATTGAAACTGTTTTATTAATAATTTAAGTAGCTAATTAATGGCACTCGATTTTTGTAAAAAAAAATGTGTGTTTTAAAATGTTAGAAATTACCGAATGCCATTACTGTTTCGAGTAAGCCTTTAGGTTGCGCATTACCGGTCTAGTGATTCCCTAAACTTTTTATCATTCGAATCGCATTAGTCTTAAATAGGTTCTAATAAACGGCTTTCTACTAATAATTTTTGTCCAATGATTACTTTACTTTACCTTCTATACCATTAGAAATGAATACACTAAATGAGAAAAGTGATTTTTCCAATATCTGTTGAATAACCAGATGTATCGTAGTTATTTGCATCATTATAGTCTGAAAATTTAACAGGCATATCTATCAATATTTTGCAACTATAGGTTTCAAAAGAGCATCGTAATCCTTACATTGAGAGTATAGCAGAAGAAGGATACACCCTCAAAATAACAAACACTACCAGAAGTGCTGAACCAGACCACTTTGGTAAGCCTTTTTTATAAAGATGTCTTCTAAAATTGTAATTTAACCTATACAGTTCAACCGTCTCAAACGCACCCTTGGCTGGCTTTCTGCCAAAACATAGACTCGTCCAGTAAGGGGAGTTATTACTTTCTGCGACGTGAAAGATCATGTGAAAGTCTTCTCTTCCCGTCTCTCACTATAGAACGGTGTTTGAGACACCAGGGTGCCTGAGTCAAGGCTTAACCCCTTGTAGAACAGTTTGATCATTTCGGAAGGTAGTACAAAATAACCGAAAGATAAATAGAATAGGTATTTTTTTTAATAATTTTGTTAAGGTCAGATAGGAGTACTTTTTAACGTATTAATAACAATGGAGTTGCTTTCTAAATTAGTGCGAGTAGAAAAGTCGAAGAACTGGTGACTGTGACAAGAATGAGGTAGAGCAAACATAGGCAAATTGAATCCATTAAGAATTATCAAATACAAAACATCAAATACTAAGACATGAACTTGGAATAATTATATACATATACCTATAACATACACAAAAGTGAGAATTCAGACAGAAAATTCGACGTGTAGCAGATAAGAGGAATGAAAATAAATATATAAATAAACACATATGTCAAATTATTAGAATTGCGTATCACATGATCCATACATTTAGTTGGGTTATCCATAATTTCCAAACTGTTATAGTCGTAATCACAGATTTTAATACTGGGATTATCAATATTTTGTTGCCTTTGATGAAATGTTTTGGCTAAGTTATAATAATGAGTGTGCAATAACTCAATGCCTAACTCTTCCTGAATTCTATTGTTCCTTACATACCATTCAGCATTTACAATTTGTCGTAGAACAGTATTTTGGCAGACTTGCAATCTTTTCGTATTAGTTTTCTTGGTATATGGCCAAACTGGAATTGCATAATACAAACGTGGACGTAGAATGGACTTGTAAATGAGTAACTTATTGTCAATAGATAATATGCTTTTTCGAGCAATTAAGGGGTATAGTTTGGCTTTACGAACTCGAAACTTCTGGATAATAGATGTAATGTGCGGGAACCACGTAAGTGACTTATTGAGGATCACCCCAAGATAAGGGAGTTGCTTGGCCCAGGGAATATCAGTGCCACAGAACTTTAGGTTTTTATTGAAGTTAGACTTCTTCGTAAATATAATAGCTGTTGCTTTTTCCACGTTGACGAGGATCTTCCATTTGGAGAGCCAAGCCTGGTACGTGTGCATGTAATTTTATAGTGATTGTATAACTGTCGTCTCTTCTCCGGAAAGAGCGAATTTATGTGCTCAAGGGAAAGAAAATCCCCAGCCTTCTGCCCTATTTTGAGAATAATTCGGTCCGAACAGCGCATGCGTGTTTGCGCTCATGGTCGCGGATGAGGCGGTCGAACTATACCTTATTTACTTGTATTCTTGTTGTCTTTCTACCTCTAATTTTATGAATTCAAACCTCTTTAATTCCCAGCTTATCCTATTATACCTTCTTTCATTGTTAGAAGCTTTAGTAGCTGATATTTTAATAGACACATAGTAATTTCTCTTAAGTCATCAAATGATAGTCAGGACGATATTAGCAAAAGGATCCAAAACATATTTTCATAGCAAGGTGCACACCTAGTGGCAAAATCCTCTCTTTCTCTAATTCTAATCTCCCTTGCATTTTTTTTTATCCCAAATGTTAAGTTTCAGCTCCCTGCATAAGGTGAAGTATGATGGTTTTGAACTATGCATCGTGCCCTTATCGTCATTGGTTGTGGTTAGTCATCAAACTGAGGATGGGGTATTCCACTCTATCCAATCCTCATGATATTCCGAAATAGGGATTCTCCTAGAATATTTAAGAGGGTCAGAAGAACGTATTATAAGAGTTATGAATTCCAGGATATTTATATTCTTATAATGCACTCTGTAGAGTCATTAGGGTTTCTGAAACAGGAGACGTGAAAATTGGGCAGTGCCCTCGCTGAGACACCGTGAAGGCACGCGGAGAAACTACCTTATAACTCCTTCCGAATTTCTTAAAAACATTTTATTGCTTATATTTTTAGAAACAAATACGTTTCAAAACACTGGTGTACCTTTGCAAATTTGGCGCCATTTTCAGAAATGCCTGAAATGAAAGTGATTTAGGAATATGTCTTGTCTTAGATTTAACTACAGCAAAGTTTGAGGTCGGTAAATACTTTATGCATGCTATGCTTCTTGCATACCTTTTGTTAAAAATTAAATGAAGTGTAATGTAATTCATGCACTTTAATCTACCTAATCAAAAGAAGGAAAATAAGGTATAAAATGAGGCAAAAAACAATTTTATATTAGAGATTTGTGAAAAGAACTATAAAGATTTTTTTTTAAAAAAAGAGAGACATTGAGGGTCTTACACGCTTCCCACTTGAAGAAGAGGAAAGGCAGGTCTATTGTATGATTTTAAAATAATTTTTGCTTAATTTTTGTGTTTGATATTAGTGTGTTTCTTTTTTATATTTTAAACGAATAGTTCTGCGGGGAGAAATGAAGAACTATTTCTCCAAAATTAATAAATGTGGAGAATCATAGCTATATTAATCATATAATTGAAACTCATAAGCAAGATATGATGGTTCACCGATAAAAAGGATTATAAATCAAAATTTCATTTTTTTTGAATTATTTTGGAACTGCACAATCAAATATTATAGCCAAATTAATGGTATGAGTTTTGGCTAAATCTCAGAAGTCAATGGAAACTTCATCAATGGAAATATATGAGTTTCTTTATTTGTCAAAGACTTCACAATATGTAGACTGTACTATGAGAGCATGACTTCTACAGGGCAGTGTCCTAGGTCTGAAGTTATTCCATCCTCAGACATGTTATATGAATGTCATATTTCTGCATCGATGGAGAGGAATTTAGCATCAATGGATTTTAATGGTAAGGGCATCAATGTTTTTAATTTTTGCACTAATAGATTTAGAGAAGAATTTTCCACCATCGAGGTTTCTGCTTCTGGCAATCGGCAGTCAAAAGCGCCCATGTCTTATCTAAAAGTACGACTTTTACTACAATGGACATCGTCATAATTGTTGCATTCAAAAAAGATTAAAAAGTCATAACAAATCAACTAATGTAAGTGCTTTTCTGATCCTCTCTTCAAGCACTATTTTTTAATGTAAATCTCTCTGTTTTATGTTTTTGTGATAAGTCGTTGATAAAAGTGAAACACTATGAACTCTTTTTCTTTTCAGACATTATGCATGCAACGATGAACCATTTGAACCTGAAAGGGTTACGTGTTCCAGTACCTGTAAAGAACTTGGATGGAAGTACTTGGAAAATGGAAGTAGTTCCTCTTTTGAATGAAGGTTTGCTTTATATAATTAATGTATTTTATATTCTGAAATGGGCTTAGATTTAAAATAAGGAATAACATAAAAAGAAAATAATGCATCAGTGCATGATTTTTTCTGAATTAAAATTTAATTATTATGAGGCTGAGCTCAGTATCCTTATTAACTATGTTTTCCTCTAATTGTATCTTCGGACAAGCTGCCGTAATCCCATTGTCTCATCTACTCATTTTTATTGTCGGCTTACAAAATGAAAACAAAAATTTGTTTAAATTCAGATAATCTTCGATTACAAAACATGCAGTCGGAAATAGTTCTGTGCATGATAGAAATGGTCACTTTGTTTGACGATGGGTAACAGTTATTAGCTTTCCGCAATGAATTTAACCTCTTTTAGTGTTATGTAACAATGTTCGTCAGAACTAGTTTTGAGCGTAATTAATGACGTTTGTTACAGCAACGACGGCTAATTATAGCCGAACCTCGCTGTAACAAGCGTCAATAAACCCAAAATTTGATTCGCTATATTCGATTAATAAGAAAAAAAGATCGCTAAGTAGTGTGAAAAACCGATTAATGAATTACACAGACAGAGTGATCAGCATTTTCACATGTCATTCACATTCAAAGTAACATTCATAAGTATTTTCTGTATTTGCTCATTATTATCCGCTATTTTTAATGCTTCTGAACGGATTCCGTACCTCCAAAAAGACTATGTTTAATTTTTTCGTTACTCATTGTACATACTCCATATTTGAAGCTAATTCGTAGTATATGATCTTTAAGACTTAGCGTTAGCGACGGTTCTAATAAACCTAGTATTCTGAATTCGGACCTTCAAAGTTTGTATCAGTACTTCTGGTACACTTGTTTGATTCGTCAGAGTTGGTTCTTTAATTTCGATGTAATTTTCACACTAAACCTTTTGGGTTTCTGTGCACTCAGTTACACTGGGACACATAAACAAGTAGTGTTTGTTAAAGAAATCTGTACATTTAAACAAATTTTCTGCAATCTTTAGATAAATGGCCTGGAGTGGAACATGTGAGACATAAACTTTTCTTTAGCAAAATCATTTTTTTTAATGTAATGGCATCCATTTAGCGCATTTACACTACATAAAATCGTGTTACTCACCACAAAAAACACAGTTCACTTTTTCGCAGGTTTGGTTTCTTTGTCGGTTTGTTTGGTTTTGCTTTTGTAGACTTTTTTTTTTTTTTTTGTTTGTTTGTTTGTTCAAAAGCCCCGCAGCTGTCGGAATTTTATTCCAACCATTCTGTTTATGTTTCGTAAATACTTCTGTTTGTGATCGACTTTCTACTCGTGCATTAAACCCCTGTCTGGCCATTTTCTCTTCCCATTCAATTTCTTTCTTCTGAAATTGCGTTAATAGTATTAATTTATTTGTTAAAATGCATTTCTCAGCTGAGGCTAAATTTCTTTCCCATATTCTTAAAATATGATCTGGTAAAAAGTCTTCAACAACAGGATACAAGAGCATAGCTGCGTATTTTTGGGTTGTAATGTTTAAACTTTCTAAGGCACGTAAATGTGTTTCTATTTTATCATACATGGACCTTATAAGAAATAGACTAACCCAAATGGGTTTACTCCCTCGTCTGACGCGTTCTCGGCTGTCACCTTGATCACATCCGAAGGAGTAGGGATGACTTGCAGAAATTTAACAGTGGTTGCCTATTGCAGCGTGTATATTTGTCCAAAAAAAAAAGCTGGTTGTAGCGCCTCATTTCACAAATTAGAATTTCTCCATATTTTTATTTTTGAAATTGAGATTGATTTTTAAAAATTTAGCATATTTATCAAGCATAATTAACGTTCCAAATAATTATAAAGCTATTGCATGCTTTCAGGGCTGGATATTTTTTTAGCTTTTCCTATGCTGTAAGGAAATTTGCAACTACTTCTTTTAGAAAATAATATTTTAAATCTGAACTAATAGAAAATTTCAAACAAGCAATTTTCTTTTGCAAATTTATGCTTTTTATTGGTGTAAATAAGTAAAAAATACTAAAATATTTAAAAACGAATTTTTGAAAGTTTTGTTTAAAATTCTAAATTCTGCTATTTTTTTTTTTAAATTATAGATGTTAAAATAGATTATAGATGTAAAAAAAGTTATTAGATCTTGTTTAATTTTACCTTATTTATTTCAAAGCATCACGTACTATCAATCTTATTTAATTTTACATATTTGTACGCAAAATTAAGTTCATAAATTTTGTAGAGTTTTTACCGTTTTACCAAAGTAAAGATGTTTGTACAAGAACTACGCGTGAAAAAAATGCGCGAAAGGCAGTAAAAAATGCTTTAATGAGATATATTAAATCCTATTTGGAAAAAACTGTGGCTGTCATAATCTCATCACTGTACAACGTATTACATTTAATAATTGAAAAGAGTTATGTGATACAAACGACATAGGTTTCAGTGTTATAGTAAATCAGATCGTCCCTACTCTTTCTTGCCGACATGTCGGTGACGCGCGCCCCGCCCACTGAGTTAGTCTATATCTTATAATATCCATGTTATCATACAGCAGAAACACAGAATTACACATTCAATTATTCACAGAATTACTACTGTATTTCATTACTAAACAGAGTAGTTCCCTCATATAGAGTTCAACCAAAAGATTGTCTGCTTGAAACCTATCTTTCAAATATTTGATAGCTTTATTATAGTTTTCAAAAGTAGGTAGAAAACTTTGTACAGGGTGCGGCAGCGTTCAAAGTAGGATATTAAAAACACACCATAAGGCAGTAACTGTAATTTATTTATTACCTCTTATGTCAATTAAAGGTATGCCATTTACTAATGTGTAAGTCACTGTCCATGCCGCGGATTACTTTTTGAATAGGATGCCTTTCAAATGAAGCTCCCTCTGCACAACACATTCATCTAGGCGGCGTTAGAAACTTGCCGTAACTCGACGTAACGTATTCCTTGGGTCATTACCGACGGCAGTTCGGATGTGATCCTTCAACTCAGGAATGGTGGCACAACGTTTTCACGTTTTCGGAAAACTTCTTGCTTCAGGTGGCCCCAAAGGAAAACGTCTGCCCATGAAAGATCAGGTGAGCAATGCGGCCAGGAAATGTCACCAAAACGGGAAACTACTCTACCTGGAAAGTCGTCGCAATGGTCCGTCCAGCTGGAATTTACATGACGTCAAGTTTAAATGTTGTGTATAGACGCTGGTAGCAATAACAGAGTAGTATATTCTTGAAATAACTTTCACAGCAAAGGCACGATGCTGTGCACTCCACCGATCCATATCACTATCGCCTCGAAATGGCAGCTCATTAGTACACGAATGCGGCACGAGTTGGCGCGCATTCATGCAGTACGTCATTGCACTACGCAAGTCAAATTGCGCTATGAACGCTGCCGCACCCTGTACAAGATCTATAGCTTTAGGTTCCGTACACTGTAGTAACTACTGCTATTTATCATCAGGATCAATTTCCTGATCAAAATCGTAAAAACAACCGTGTATTTAGCGTAAGTATATTGAAACACTCAATCGATTTCGAGGGCTGCTAAAGGTCCCTCCTCATCAGGAGAAAGAAATACCTAGAAGAAGAAAAAATGAAGGGAAGGAGTCTCAGACACGTCGTCTTATCAGCACTGCACAGCTAACGGATTTTTATCAGAGTTACACTGGCCGCCTACTTTTACTGAGCCAGGCTATCTGAACAAACATGTAACACGAAGGACAAGAAAATTAGCAAAGTTAAAAATAGGGAGCGAGGGGCAACTCCACCTTCATGCTCAAAATCTGAACTTCGAATGAAATTAGATTCTTTTCGAAGTTCAGATTTTGAGCGGTAGAAAAAATTTTGAAAAATACAAAAATTTTTCAGTCCAAGATATCTACAAAATTTGTTACGTCCGATTTTATCGATTTCATAGTTCGATATGAAATATTAAGTCAAGAAACGAACGGGATCAAGAAGCTTGTTCGTTATATTCGGAAGTTCGTTATAAACCAGATTCTCTATAGCGGGGTTTTAATGTGTATAATCTCGTATAAAATGTGTAGAGACATTAGGTATTTTTTGGAAGCAGGCAAGATGAAAAATATGCAACGCATTCGCCGGGAATCGAACCGAACCTCTCAATTACGCGATTAGTGTGCAAACCACCACACACGAGTATGCCAAGAGGACGGAAGAAATACTTTATATGCTCCCCCTTTTAAAGGGCGACTGGGGTTTCTAGGGGACCCAGTCGCCGTATTCGGTATTCCTGGGTGTGGAGATTCATCATCCAACACACTTTTAGTTTGGGCGCCACTATAGAGATATTACGTATTTATTTTATTATTTATTTATTTATTTATTTTTTTGGAAGCAGACAAGATAAATATGCAACGCCTTCGCCGGGAATCGAACCACGGACTTCTCAATTACGCCCTGAGCGTGCAGACCACCACACCATGAAGACATGCCAAGAAGACGGGAGAAATACTTCATAAATGAAAGAATGTTAGCAAGACTAATAACCTCAATTTTAAGATTAAAACATGTAACTTAAATGTTTTCATTATATGTCGCTCTCAGTAGCATTCTGCAATACCCTTATTTTTGAGAAAAGCATTGAGTTTAAATCAAACTCATTTTTTAAATTTAAATACGCGTATTTATATATTCATTCATTTCATAAAGTATCGTGATACTAAATGAAATTTTCAGTAACTCAGATATGCAATTATATGATTAAATAAGTTTCTTCAACTCACAATGATCCATGTATTTCATGTTACAGAATATCTAATGTTTATTTTTTCAAAATTTTGATACTTTTTTCAGTTGAAAGCAATTTTCCCGACGAAAGGAAATGTGGTATTCATCTCCTAACCTTCATTTCTGGAGTACCAATATCCACTGTAACTTACACAAGTGACTTGCTTTTTCAATGGGGAGCATTACTAGCAAGATATCACGACGCTATTCAGGTAACTATAGTTCTGGATTTAAATAACAATAAAATATTTTTCTTCACATTTCCTTCATTTAGTATATACTATACAGCGAAAAAACGCATATTCATCTAAAATAGTTGTTAAAAATAATTCAATAAATGCTAAAAGTTCGCACTCAGGGTCCTGTTTAAATAATTGTTAGATATGATTTAAACTTACTCTCCCCACACGCACACAAATTGAGCATTGCTTGTTTTGATGTTAAAAGCATCTATAGCTCATGTGCTCCATTCAAAGGCTTACAATCTAAAGGCTGGTGACAAACAGTTGAGTTACTGGGAGGAATGAAAGACATGTTTGGACGTCATAATAATAATGACTTCCCAGTGAGGCCTTCACTTCGCAAGAAATATCAGCAGTGGCTGATCAATGAAGGATTTTGAAACTACTTTGATATCGTTTCGACTACGCCAGCTATCTATCGAATGCAAAGACTAAGAGGGCATGTCTGATTCGCTTGGGAAAACGAAATGCTCCCAGACAAGGCAAAAACACTCTAAAACTCTCAACTATAAAGAACTAAAAATTTCCAAATGGCAAGAATTCTATTCTCAGACATGAAAGCTAATAACTATACTTACATTTAAAATCTGAACGCCGTTTCATATCGTTTCGATAGAAATAATGCCATACTTTTAATTTATATATGTAATTAGAGTTCAATATTAATGATACTAATTACTAAACTTTTCATAGCTTATATTAAATATATCACATATAATATTGCACTTGCACATAATCTAGAAAATGCTATCAGTTTCACGCAATCCAGCACCACCTGCTCCAGTGATGGCCCCGAGATAATACTGTTATAACTCGCATATCATAATAGGGCAGACGCGGAATCATTGATTGATGCCAAGAAATTTAACTCCGGCGGTGACAGACAAGCTGCAGACCGCTGACATGTTCTGAAAATGACTTATGAAACGTCAAGTGAGGATATTACTTGGAAGTTATTACACCTGTAGTATCAAACATATCACATCAGACAAATCATATGTCCCGATGAAGTATCAGGAACAGTAAATTGGTAAGCAGATACCTTAAGAGCATATACTAAACATCTATGCTTACAACATTGTATACGGCACCAATAGAAACAAACCGTGGGCCGTAGGCAAATTTCGATGGTCCAACCGGCACCAGTGAACAACTTGACACCCCAACCTTAGAACATATGATATATAGTATGTAATCCTATTTGTGCTTTACGCATTTATGTGTCATACAATATACGAAATAAATGCTTTGAACATAATAATGACGTTGGAACATATAAATTAATATCTAAGAACCTTATGGGAAATTCTTAATTCCAAATAATAAGTAAAATAACACATACATTCTTGATTAGCATGATATTCGATGCGCTTATGTATAAAATCCTGTAAATATGATATAAAATATTTGAAGCAAATTAATTATTTTTAACAACATTAAAATCTTTGATATTTTCATGTCACAAAAATGATGTGAAAATCCTACTGGCTGTACTATTTGGCATCGGCCTCTAAATTAAAGCTTGCAGAGATAAACCTCGCATCAAGGATTTTAGCTTCGTATGGCTCGCCACGGACCTAAGAAAAGGATCGTATGTTCTTTATACTGTCTGTCTCCACTATGAACTGAAACTTGACTTGAACAAGGAATTGTTTTATAATTTTTTTATTAGTTTTTTTTCCTGTTTTGCTTTGTTTAAAGCTAAGCGTCCTCCATTAAACTCAGGTCCTTTGCTACCTCAGGTCAACTATGCCTTCTCCTAAAGTCCAGCTTTGTGTCATATCATTGCTAGTCGGACACATTGCTACTACCACTTACATCACGATTGCATACAGAGGAAAATTCAGTAATTCCTCATAAAGATATGAATTCTTTTATCCCCTTAAGGAAAAATAATTCTATAAACATCATTTCATCTAATTTTACAATGTAAACATCTTGTTAATTATATGAAAATTATGCAAAATGAACAAACTTAACGTTCATTATTTTTCAGATCACACACATGGAAGATTCCATTTTATCATTTTACTGCTGTTTATTAATGGAAAATTTATTTTGTAGGACTTCAAATGCGAAGCACTGTTTAAAAAGAAAGTTTTCTGGAATCTGGAACATGTACCAGAAATTGAAAATTTCATGGATGGTTTGGAGGAACAAAAGAAGAATCTAGTGCTCAGTGTTCTGAAAAAATATCCTGAAGAAATAACAGAGAATATTGCAAATGCTCCTAAATGTAAGTCCCCTTTATCGATAAACTATTTGTTTTTGCATTGTATTTATTTTCATAATTGACGAAGTTACAGAATTTTGAATATATATCCCTGCAAAGGCTTTAATTTTCAGTGACAAATAAACTAAACTTTAATTTGTAGTAGGCCATATCAAGAAATGAATATTACTCTTTCATACTGCAAGAGAACAATGTTTCAATACTCTTTAAAATGACAATTTTACGCTACTTTGTTCCATAAAAATATTTGCCTAAATAGGAAAATTAAAACAAAGGATAAATTAGACTACCTAGTTAAGGTAAAAAAAAAATCTGATGTGTACACCACATGACTTCCTTGTACGGAATATTAAATTATTTATGCATTTTTTCTTGCATTTCATTTAAACTTATTGGATTGAATTAAATCTACTTCGCCGACAGCGCATAAACCACAATAGATAAATGCATCTTTAAAATTAACTCTAGTATTGTTTACCGTAGCGACACTGGCGCTAGTTCACTTAACAGTATTAATAATTATATAACAGTAACTTATATAATAATTTATAACGGAAAACTAAGTTAATGTTATAAATCCAATAATTATATAACAGTTAACTTATATATTTCGTTCATATTATAACTCATAATGCACAAAATTTATATCATTTAAAGAATAGAATTCTAATCGTTTGCCACATGTTCTATTCAAATACTAATAAAGCTAGAATGATGTATAAAAGAAATTAAGCAAAAAAAAAAAAAAAGGAATAGTTTTTCACAGACGATTGAGTATTTCTCATTCAATTAATTCAGTTCTCACTTCGCGAGAGGCAAAAATACATAAAAACTCAAAATATCTATAGTAAAAATTACGAAGTAAATCTTAAACACTTATTTCCTCGAAAAATTCCAGAAAGAATTAAGCATGATTTATTGGCAATAATAAATGAATGCGTTTCTTGTGTGGGAAACTAAGTTTCTCTAGATTGGCAACAAATCCACAAGTATCCTGTTTCAAATGTAAACATCAATGGCCGCCATTAAAAAAGGCTTAGCGGCATTAACTTAGAAACTTTAAAACTGTTGATAATTCTAAAAATATTGCATACAGATTTACTAAAGGCATATAAAAACTTTAACGGAAGATAAAAACAACATAATACAATCATTTTTTAAAGCAAAAAATTTACAAACATGTAAGAGTAAAGAAAACTGGATCACTGAGCCGGGTACATAGTGGATATATAAATATATTTATATACGTTGGTGCGGCCGATTGCAACCAAAATACGAGGTGCACATCTAATGTTATAGCAGTCTATATACAAATTTTAAACGTCCTGAGGCTTCTCGTTTGAGTATGCGAGATACGTAAGTACGCACGTACGTACATACGTTGGGTATAGACACCACGAAAAAATTCTCTTCAGAATTAATTTTAAAGCAGTTTATAATTTTTTTGAAGGAAAAGAGTGTTTTATTCTGTCCTACGTACAGATAACACGCAAAAAAACGTTAAAATTGCATTCGATAGCTGTCAAAATGGATATTTTCGTTGAAATATGCTGCCTGAAACTTTTCGCGATTACAATACTTCCTTTTTACTTCGTACAAGGAAGTAAAAAACGCGAGGATAGTCTGTATAATGGGAAGGATACCTCTGCGGAAAATATTCAGACTCGTATTACATATTCTCGTATTATATACATGGGAACACAATAAAAATACTACTGTCTTATTTTGCATTTCTTCCACAAGCGGAAGAGCAATAAGTCGCAAAACACTAATAAACAATGTGAGTTTGATTACAGAACTGCCGGACTGGCATGCATAGCTAGAACTTTTGCCGCCCGGGACGGTTTCTGATTTTGCCAGTTTTGCCGACTCTCTTCATATACAAACAAATAACTGAATAAAAACTTCAAATATGACGTTTAAAAAATAAATGTAAACTATACTTATCTTCTAAGAAAAATTTAATTCACAGCATTTTAAAATTATATTATCATTTTTTGTTTGATGTTTGTTCTCAAAACGATCGCTGACATGGTACAGGTCTACGTCATTGCTACAGATGAAATAATGTAGATAGTATAGAAAGATTTCTTAAATTCACAGTAAACATTTACAGTTCTTAATTACTTTTTAAATGGAAAGTAAAAATTTACAGTTCTCAAATATTTATGAATACAAAATAAACACTTACAGTTCCAAAATATTTCTAAATGACTTTTATTTAAAAAAATACTCTTCTTATAACTCTATCTACCTATCTTTCTATATAACTGTATGTATTTTTATTATGCATATATATATATTTGTTCGTAAAACCATCAATGACAAGAAACACAGAAAGATGTCTTAGGTGCAAAATATACATTTTCCGTTCTCAAATACATTTTAAATAGTTTTTACTTAGAAATATCTTGTCACAGCTTACAATACTTATGGCAACTGAAAGGAGGGTTTGCACAGGCATATCAGTATTTCAAACTTTGTTCTGGAGATTGTATTTTAGAATTAAAGTGCAAAAATTTCAAAGGACCGCACTTCCACTTTCTTGTTTCGTTTTCCACAGCATTAATGGAAATAAAACACTTGAAATATGTGTCTCTTTAACAGGGAATTGTTCATTATTAATGTAACCATGATCATAATTTAGTTCACATTCGTAATTTTCATTCAGAAGTTTGATGGTCTAAAATAGCTATAACAAGGATATGTAGCTATTGATATCTCGTGGTGATTTCTTTGAATACTTTATATGGTTTTAGTTCTTTAACCAGTTATTTTATGTTAAACCGCTTTCCTATCTTCCTCATTTCCATTTTCTTGCCAAAATGTAAATTTCTAGCTCGCGTGATATTTAAATGAGGAAGAAAGAAAAGGGTATATAAAGGAAGGCTTTAGAAGGTAGAATTGGAGTATTCTACCTGCTGAATGCCACTTTGTTAATTTGGATTCTCTTGCTAGTATTCTGCGGCATTGCGTTATTCTAGCCATTAAGCTTAGTTACGCCGATCCTACGATAGAGCCAGCTTGGACATTATCCTAGTTGTGGAGTTGTTAGCTTTAGTTAATTCATTACCTGTATTTTAGCAAAGAAGACGAAGCGTCACAATTTACTCAAGTAAAAACCAATATTTTTCCTCAATTTAATTCCGTATGCAATTCAGAGTTGCATTATTCTTTACTTGCTTTGGCAATTAACATGACTACCTTCTTTAAAATGTTTCACGCGAAAAATGCCACCACTAAAATTTTGTGCCAGGGGCGGACCGCCCCCTGTGCCCTTCCTCTCTGAACCTTCCTTTTAATAATCGGAACCAATGAAGAAGTAAGTAGTTTAACGTTTTTGTTTTATATTTACCGTTTTTCGTTGGGTTTTGAATTAAGAATTCGTGCACAATGTACTGTTGTCAAGTAGGAATGAAATAATTCATTTACATTAATTCTTACGGGGAAATTTGTTTTGGGTTGCGAACATTTCGTTTGAAGAACGATCTTCAGAGATGAATTAAATTCGCGAGCAAATGTTTCACTGTAGATTAAAAATATTTATTGAGTCATATTATTTCTTGACTACTGCTCTTCGTAAGATATTCCTTAATGCAGCCTTTTGAAAGAAATTTTGTGATCTCAAATTTTCTTACTTAAGGAATTTAATCATTTTTAAATTTTTATTCTTAACTTGAAAACTTTTTTCTTAATGTAAAAACTTTTGTTCTTACAGGTTTCATACACGGTGACTTCAATGAAAATAATATTTTGGTGCAGATGATAAAAAATGAGTCTTCGGATTGCACTTCTTACTCCGTAGATGGTATTCTGGATTTTGAAGACATTCATTACAGCACTTATGCCTGGGATATCGGAGTGATGTTAGCTTACGCGATGTTGGACTGCAAGATCGTCGACCCGCTAGAAGGAACCGGACATGCATTAGCAGGCTATTTAAGCATTAGGTCCCTAAGTGGTTTAGAATTATCATTGCTCAGGGTTAGCATTAATTCTTAATGCATTTTCCATTTTAATATAAATGTAAATACAAGGATGGATTGTAAGGATATTATATGCATATTTGTTTAAAAATACCTTAAGTATTATTTATTTAAATTTTAAATGAACATTTTACAGAGAAATTTCCTACAAGTTTATTCCTTATGTGTGTGATTTTATTCGATTTCTGTTGGTAGAATTTTATTGTTCCATGTCAGACTGTTTTTTAAACTTTGAAGAAAAATGACTCATACATAACTCCCTGAAAATAGGTACACTTTTCTTGCAAAATCAAAGCACGTAGCACTTTTTAAATTAATCCTCACTATTGAGGATGCATTTGTATCATCACTCTCCAGGACAGTGCAAAAAAAAGTTTTGTAGACATAACTTTAACCAACATCCAATCTTCCACATCACCGGTATTAAAGCTCTGTCGCAGAGAGCTTCCCTTTTTTGTACAAGAAAAGTAAACTTCTCTGTGAAAGATAAAAAAAAAAACGAAGGATACTGCATTTTTGTTGCGATAATCATTCACTAGACTCCATATTGAGCTGTCTTTTCTCACGGAAGTCTTTTTTTTTTAACGAAGTAGTTAAAGTGCCTGTTCATTATTGAACAACGTTGAAGAACGTCGAGTAAAATTACACTTTTAATCATCCCAGGAAATATTTTTTATTATCTGGAATCTTTAAAATTCCCAAAATAGTAGTTACCTGTGAAATCCCTCTGCTCTTTAAAAACAAATTATTAATTGGTGAGAAACTCACCATGAGACTCAGTTTTCGATATTTCATCTTGTAGAAACTTGGTGGACCCGAGCGAAGTTTCTCAGCCATCACTTGAACAAAAATTATGTTGTTTCCCTTCTATTGGTTATCATGGATGAATTTTATGAGATTTAATTTTAACACGCATGTTCACTTTTAAACATTTTCATCCACTTCCAAATCTTACTTATATCGTTCATGAGCTTCATCATACACATTTTTCAGTGTTTGTATATGTCGGTTGCAATGTACTCTTTCCTTAAAAATATAGTGGTACCGCAGTTTCTGCTTTCACAGCTCTTCAAGACCAAGAATTAGCAAAATTTAAGTCACAAAGAAAACTGTACTGTATTGAATGTTGTTTTGCACAGGCACTACACTATAATTCAATAAACTCAGGAACAATGGACTGTATTATATCTCACTTTAATTCTCATTAATTTACATCGTTCATGGCCACTCGAAGCCACGAATTCTATCACAATCTATGTCACAACTCCAAGACTCACGGCGCATGCGCCGAAGCTAGTAAAGAAATTCGCGCGCAGGAGCAACATACGCTCCGCCTTGAGGTGATGTAATCATGTCAAAATAGATCTTACAATAAAAAAATTACACAGAGTTGACAATACGAAAAAAGGTAAAATAATTGTAAACATCAATAAACATCAAAAAAATTTTTTCTCTTCCCAAACACTATAATAAGAAAAACAACTAATACTTTACAAAAACTTTTGTTAATTTGGCCATGGAAAGACAATTGTAGTAATGATCTTTTAAAATACTCTTTCGTTTTCACTGAAACTACTCTAACCTATTGTCTGGTACCTAAGAAGATTCTACGATTCTGCCAAGAGGCAGTACATACAAGAACCTTATCAGTTCTTTAAATACCATAGTTCCAACTGGACATTGTCTTTCAAAGAACATTTAGTTCTTCTGCATTGCACTCAAATAGTTATTCTCCAATCGTCCAAAATTGTTGCCACTATTTAGCAATTTTTGACAGATATTAATCTATTATCGTTAATGTTTAAATATTAGGTTGGCAATAGCCGTTGATGATAGTTCTGCCTATCAGGAGGGCCTGGTGTCAAGATATCAAAATCCTCTGGTTCAGATGATAAAGGATGCAAGGGCCTAGAATTCAAAATGCCTTCAATTTGAGCTCGAATAAAATGTTTTTCACTCCAATGAAAATCTTAATGTCTGGGCGAATCAATTGTGCTTCTGCTGAAAGTTAGGCATGTTTTTTCTTGTTAGCAGTCAAAGTGACACCACTTTTCTTTCTAGAATTTCCGCTGAATTCTTTCCCTAGATATTAAATTTTTTTCCCTTAATTTATTCTGAAAGTTCTAGATAACACAGTTAAACCTCTTTAAGAAGACCGCCCAAAGTTTCAGATAGTTTTTGGTGTTCTTTGGAGATGGCCAAGGGCCCTTCAATATCCATTTTATTTATGATCGTACTTATTTATGTTATGTACATTTTCAGAAGTAGTCTTGTGTGGAATATAGTCGTCATAAGAGGTTTCATTGTACATTTTCATACAGAAGCGACTATTATTTTCAATTATTTCCATTTAATACAGTACTTGTACAATTTTTCAGATGTGCATTGCTTGTCGATTGTGCCAATCTTTAGTCCTAGGAGCTTACAGTTACAAGCAAGATCCGGGAAACTCATATATCATCATTTCTGCAAGATCAGGATGGAATAGACTAGAGCAAATATGTAATATAAGCAACGAAGACCTTTTAAATGTATGGAAGAAGATACAGCAACAATATAATAATTAAGATAATATATAAAATTGTAAAGGTAAAATCCCATGACCTGTAACCTTATAAAAATCATTCATAAGGCAATTATGACAATAGCCTATTTTGTATTCAAAAGATTTGATGTCAATATATTTTTTTGCGAATGCCTAAGTGAGCAAAGGAATAATAATGTATTATAAGATATGCTTTGATCAAATACCATATTTTGCTGATATAGAATTTTAAGAAATAATTATGTTTTTAATTATTACCCGAGAATAGCTATCGTCGAAAAATAAAGAAATTTTTACTTTTTCATTTTGTTTCTTTTTTTTTTTTTTTTTTTCCCGACAGTCATATATATTTAATCAAGCTGTGAGATAACACCTCTCGTTTAATATTCGTATTAATTTTAAATTTTAATAATAAAATAGCTCAATATTTTTCGTCTTTTAAATAATGTTGCTTTCTTTCTTCATAATTTGAATGCTTCCGTAACTAATGTATTCCGTTTAATTACAGTGAATGAATAAAATTAAAATTTAATGGATAACTTAGTTTTTCTCCTTAAATTCCTAGCCTTTTTATTTTTCTTCTCTCTCTCTCTCTCTTTTCTTTTTCCGCCCATAAGGGTGTTCTCTCAAATGGGCTGTTAGTTACGAAACGGCAATTTGCGTCGAATCACTAGAAACGGCTGTATCACTTTTCAAATGGCTGCCACCAAATATTATCGCTCTGCATTATTTTTTACAAAATTAAATAATGAAAAATCTGCATATATATATATGAATGTTCCTTTCCCTTCGAAAAAATGACGGTACCTAGAGTCATTAAATTTTGAATAGCGTAGTCCTCCACTCGAACATGTGCACCTGGAAGACCGAATTTTGAATTTCGAATTTTATATTTCATATTTTATACAACTTTCATGAATTTTTGATTCACAAACTAAGCGATCTGAAGCTGAGCGGTGGCAACGGTATACGAAATAAAACATTTTTTTCCTCCAGGGCGCGAGACTGTGCCTCGGAAAAATTTTAAAGGTATGCTGTTTTTAAATATTACAGGCGGGTCAGCCACCAAGATGAGCTCTTTTAAGCATAAATTCTATAGATGCAAAAGTCACTTGTGTTTTTAATAGCTAGTTTGTAATAGATTAAAGTTAAATCCAAAAGCTTATAGGATTCTTGTTCATTTGAGTGTCCTTGTTACTAGAACCTTGAAGAATACTGTAGCCACTTTCAACTGTAGTTGCAAAACTTTAACGTTAAGACTCTTAACTTCATATTCATCAGCTCCAGCTTTACAACCTTACTCAGACTTACTCTAACTTAAGACTAAGACAAAGAAATTGTTTTACAAATTTTTAGTCTTCTGCTTGAACTGCGTAGTTTTCTTGAACTCTTGTGCCTCCTTCCAGTATATCTGGAGGGAAAAAGCATTAGTAACGCTATTCACAGAGATATTTTGGCTACATTTTTAATAAGAAGTTACATTTCATCACATTTGTTTGGCTCTTAAGCAATTTCATTCATTTATAATTTTAATTTTCCCCACGCTCTCCAGAAGTTAGTTTTGTAAAGATAGATGCGTAATTCTGTGGTGTAGTAATACGTAATAACTACCACGTAACCAACTTCCAATATGTTAGATAAAATTGGACTTATAAAGCGTAGGACAACACGCTAGTTTCTGCTCTATACCTGGTGTACTCAAAGC